GAGGGATGGGTGAATGGCCAAAGATCGTCTTTGAGTGCTGTGGTGGCTCTGATTAGCAGAAGGGTTGTTGTTCAGGGAAATGTCACAATGGAGAGGATGTCACACCTCAGACAGTGTGTAAAAACAGGTGTTACAAGAGGTGAGGAGATCTTTTCTCACAGAAATGTGCTGAGGAGGAAAGTTGCTCCATTAAAATCACATTGTGGTATCACTGTGTATTAGAAATCTTCCTTAATAGGATAACTTTGAGACATACCAGCACCAGGAAAGCGAGTTTATCTTTCCAAATATTGTTTGACATCGAAGTGTGGAGTCTCAGGAGCTGAGCTGCATTTCATGGTAATATCTCAGATGTATTATTTTCACATTGTTGTTTCAAGCCATCTTGGGAAAGGTCCCTTAGTTTTGCCTGAGCCTGAGGGTGTAGAAAAAAAAGTATCTTCTGAAAACATGTTTCAGTGTACATAATATATTAAATTTTTAATTGTGTTTACTATTTAGTCACTTTAAGAAGGAAAAACAAAACAGCCCAATGCTGTTTGTACTCAGTGTAAAATATTGAGATGCTGTTTAGTGTTTAGGGTTACCAAGAAAAAAGGCAGTTGATGGTTTCCTCTAGCATGTAGTAACACTGGCAAAACAATGCTAGGTATTTCAGTTCTCCTTTATTTTTGCATGTATGAAACACCATGAAGTTTGACAGGTGGCTTCCTGCTCTACACCAGCTGATGAGGAAGCGGAATCAGACACAGTGATTATAATTTGAGGAGAATTAGGTTATCTGGCAGCCCAGTTGTAAGTTTTCCTTTAAAAATAAAATGCCTTGGGGTTTCAGACTGTGACACAAGACTTCATTTGGTATCCAGCAGCCAACTGCTTATATTACTCATAGATTTATGGTCCATTTTCTGTGGAACTCATAAATAGAGTCTCCGAAATGTGCTAAGTGTTTGAGGTTTTTATCTGAGTTAAAGGATAGGAATTCTCAGGGGAATCACCAGAAGATGAGTGGACAGTGTTTTTTTTGTGGTTAATTTACCTTCTTTAACAGAAAAATGAGCATTACTGAGCGTAAGAAGGCAGTGATGGAATTTGAAATCCCCTCTGCACCTCCACTGAACAAGCTCAAGTTGCACATTCATAACCTGAATCCCCCTGTACCAAAATATCCTAAGCACAGAGAGCCATAGTATGATGCCTTTCAGGAATATCAATTCCTTCCCCAGCCCTTTGATTTACTTTCCTTGTCTTCAGACTGCTGGTAGTAACAGTTCCTCACCCATTTGCAGGGACAGTGGGGAGAGCAAGAGTTTTAAAGAAATTTCAAAATAGTCTCATTTCAGTTTAGTTCAGTACATCTGTGCCCAATCCCTTTTTCAAGAACCTCACCCAAGGTGAATCAATGTCAAATCCACCTTCCCCATGCATAGGACTATTTAAAATTGAACCCAAGGAACTTTCCAAGGCATAAAAATACCGCAGCTTCCTGCTGGTTTTAATATATGTTCCTCTAAAAATGTCCAGACTCTTAGGGAAGGAACCATGAGTGTATTTAGAGGGAATATCAGATATGCTTGCCTGTCACTATTTGTCTTTGGCCCCATGTTTAAGATCACTGCTGGACATGGAATCTCACTGGGTCAATGTGGTGGGTCTCATGACGTTGCGTGGGGCATTCTGTGTATCCCATGGTAACCATGGAGAAGTAACACTGACAGCTCCCACCGGGTTGTATTCTAGGTGGGTCCAGGTGTCTGTACAAGCGAAGCGAGAAGCAACTGGGGTCTCGGGACCTGGGGGCCATCGTGGTTGTGGAGGCCTTCCAGGGAGAGGCGAGTCGGCTCTGGGTGGAGGGAGTCCAGTTCCGCCACATGGGCCAAGCGTTTCGGCAGCACTGCAGTGCCCTGACTGTTGCTGGCAACGTGCAGATGGCAGGTGAGTCGGCTGCACTGGAGGTGGGCCCAAATGATCTCAGACGTCCACCTTTTTCTTCCCAAAGTGGGGGCAGATGTCCTCAAAAGCCTGCTCAGCTCCTGGGTCAGTTGACAAATTGGATTAGTAAATGAGAGAAAACCTCACCTGTAGTCTAAGCCTAAGTGAAACTGATGGAGTGCTTTAAGCTGCTTTAGTTCCCTTGCATCCCTGGACAGCTTCTTCCTAAAATCATATCTCATTTTTATGCCACACCTCTGAGTTGTCGTGCTACTTCTAGCGCTGGAAATGAATGCACTAACACGCTGTGAGGGAGCTCAGCGGTGGCTCAGGGCTCTGTGGTATCACAGGCCAAAATTTAATTCTGTCACCAGTAGGTTAAGGAACATTTTGACTTTGTCACTGATACGTGCAAAATTCATCTGTGTGGAAGTGGCAGTGAGGGCTCTGAAGACTTGTGGCGATAGGAGCAAGTTAGGTGGGCTCGAATAATGTTGTAAGGGTAGCGGATGGGACTTTCCCCTCTGGCTCACCCACGCTTATGCCTTCTCTATGCCATCTTCATCACTGAGGGAGGATGTAGGCTTCCTGGTGGCAGAAGGCAACACTGGCCATGATCCTGGGGTACAGTGGGCAGGTCACCATGCCTGGCAAGACAAGGTGTACAAGATACCTGCCCTGCCCTCACTGCCCTTCTGAAACATTCCTCCTCTCCTTTGGTCCCGCTTCATCCAGCTGCCTGAGCTTATAACGTGCTTCACTCTTGGGATCTTAACCTGTCCTTTCCCTGGATCTTCTCCTTCTTCCTCACAATAGTGGACCACCTCCATCAACCCATTTCTGTGCTCAGGGCCCCTCTTCCCTGCTGTGGCTGTCTCAGCAATGCCTGCCTGTGGGCAAAGATCTGCCAGGTGAGTAAGGGGACAGCCGCAACCGAGCAGTCCCATGGGAGCCAGAAGGGTTAATTGTGCAGCATCAGAGGACGAGGAGCTAGTATGAAACTCTCCCAACCTTCAAGCTGCAGCGTGCTTTTCGCTCACAGCACTCATTTCTTTCCAGACTCTTACATACATGGCTGTTGTGTTTTGGACTCCTTTGGCCAAGGACTCCGTCTGACCGGGATCTCAAACCTTAGTGTGGACAGTAATGTTTTCTCTAACATTTCAGGCCATGGGCTTCTGTTGGGTAAGTGAAGCAGGAAAATATCTATCCTACCTGTAACAGCAACATGTGCTGATTACCATTTGCATGAAAATGCCTCCGGAGGAAGGAATGGCAGATCCTTAACTGCACCCTGAGAACTTTAATCACATCTTCTGCATTTTCTGGTATCAGTGAATCTGGAATAAAGATCCCACGATTCCACATGCAGCTCCTAGCAGCTATTTTCATTTGACCATACACTCTGTTTTTTCAGGTCAGTCTTCACTTGATCTGGATCCCTTTTTTTCAGTGTACAAGTGGAAGGAGAATTTTTTTAGGGGATTGATTTATCTGTCTTTGGAAAAGCACCATTATGCAATATTTAAGACCTCAGTTCAGTGAGGCATTTAAGAGCATACTTACCTTTAACTTCAGTCATTTGACATCAAAGATAATGGAGTGAAAGCGTATGTTAGAAGTTAAGCAGAGGATTTAGCACTTAAATAAATTGGAGCTTGGAGCAACAAAAATGTTAAACAACAAAATATTTCTCCTAACTAACCATCAGGAGACTGACTTGCAGCATCTTCTGCTGGGATCTCATGTTGCCTGAATACCTAAAGATATAGCTTGATTTTTGTTTTCCATCAGAGATGGGATAAAAATGACCAATTTTAAGATAAACAGAGGGAGGAAAAAAAGCCTTCGGTCCTAATCCTGCAGTTCCACACACACAGTGAGTCCCCGTGCTAGCTCCTCTATATAAACACAATGAGAAGTGATAGATGATGATTTACACAGAGGAGACGTATAAAAGGAGAGTGATTGCATACGTCTTGCAGTCAAAGGGAGCTGGCTCAAAGAGGTACAACGACTTGCCCAAGGTGATGCACAGAGTCCGTGTGGCCATGGGGAAGCGGAACAAGGTCTCCATCCTGCCAGCATGCCTTGGCTCGCTCGTGCTAGAACATGTGTCTGAGTTAAAGGACTCTGGGCTGAGCTGAATGTGTCCACTGAAGTCTCAGCCTGAATACACCTTATCGCCAAGATGTCTTTAATGGCTTCACTGTCAGCAGCTCCAGAGGGTCTGAGGGATGAATTTATATATCATTTTGTTGACATATATGAAGGAATATTTATGATAGCTGGCTATTTGCAGGTCCAGAATTGGACTCCTTCCGTGATTTCATCTAAAACCCTTATTTTCAGGGGGTTTGCAAGACAGTCATAAAAATTTGCTCTGGGCTTAAAATTAATTGACACACCAAGACCTTTCATGCCATCTCAAAAACCTATATGGCTGTCAAAATCACTGCTTTAGGATCCTGTTCATGGTCTGGAAGTGGCATGGTAGTAAATATAACCTGGAAAGGAAATATTTCCTAAACGGGTCTTGTTCCAAAAAATGGAGAAAGGCTCAAAAGACCAAGAGGAAGGCTAAAAATAATTACTGCCATCCCCAAAACCAAAGCACATAGGCTTTCCTGGCAAGTGGCTTACATTTGGGGTAGTGATGACTGGGGAAGGGATCTGTATTTGGAACAGAACTTGAGCAGGTATAGTTGAAGATGGTCATTTACATTCGATAAACAAAACCAAGTTGATTTAATTTGTTCCTCCTGTGAGCCAAACAGAGATGATCCACTTTGTACTCTCCTTCCAAAATGCCAGAGCAGGGGGACATATGCTGATGTATTCTTAGTTGAGCTTGACCTGTATGCAGTCATCCACTTTTTTGTATTGGGTGGCACATTTCTTTATGGTGTAGTTTAAAAAGATTTTTTTTTTTTCCCTTCAATACTCTTACTAGATTTGGGGCACCCCGTGACCCTGAGTTGTGTGATCAATTTTTTGATTGATTTTTCCTTTTTCTTCTCACACTTCATTGCTTAGGGGGCAAAACCCCCAACTTTGTGCAGCATTGCACCAGGTGTTTTTAAGTCTATTTAGAAATTTTCTTACATGTAGGTAGGGCATTGGATGGAGACACAGGAGACAGATACAACTTTGAATTTTAGTACTGCCAGCAGCATGCCTCTGTGTGCAGAGGTGAGCCACTTCCCCACTCTGAATCTCTCTTTTTCCAACTGTAAATGTGCTTTATAATACTCCCTTTATTCATTTGCTCCATAAATCCGGGGTACAGTATGGCTGGTGTTATATTCATTTATAACACCTGGTACAGGGCCTTGTGCGTATTAAATTGCAGCATTATGGTCTCTTGCCTCTTTGTAGAATGTATTTTAGTATTCCTTTCCTTGATTGCTTTTATCTCGTTAAAGTGTAAGCTCGCTGTGGCAGAAACTGTTTTTTAATCATATTTACAATGTTGATCAGACCTTGCTTGTGGCCTCCTGACGTTTCTGAAGCGCACAGCCTTCCCCTTCCCATGCCATGCACCGCCGTGTTGGGCAGTCATGGCAGTCTGACCATCTCATAGCCATCTTCTGCCACGTGTTCAACACAGGTTTCTAAGTGCTTTTCAAACAGTGGTTTACCCAGAGACAGTCAGTAGGAAAAGCTAACTCCCAGGTGGGCCACGCCAGCAAAGCAGGCAGGGCAAAACCCAACAAGTTCTGTGACTTGCATAATTAGAGGGTTTCCGACTATATTTACATTTCTGTTTCTTTTTTCTTTTTTTCTTCTTTTTCTCTTTTTTATTTTCTTTTCTCCCTTTTTTTCTTTTTTTCCCTCTTTTTTTTTTTTTTTTTTAATTTTTAAAGGAGAGGGACTGGAAGAGGGAAACAGAGTCAGTAACAACATAGTGATTGGCCTTTCTGGAGCAGACGGTTTATCCAACATTGAGACACTGTCACCAGCAGGGATCTACATCAGGGCTCCTTCCAACTACATCGAGGTAAGAAGTTCAGGTATAAACCGCAACATTTCCTTCCTAATCAAAGATATCAGAGAGTTACAGAGCTTCATTTATCTGGGAGATCCTGTACACAACATTTGCTCCTTGGCTGAGCTGTCAGAAACTGTTTGTCATGAGATATTAAAACAAATGTATATAATAAAATAAATTATACTCATGGGCAAATTTATTGTTACTGAAAATTTTACTGCACTTGAGTGGAATGAAATACTGTCATGAGATCCTTTGTTCTAGGATATTTTAAAAAGTTGTTTTATTTGTTAATGCTCATGGATTCATAAAAACTGGAAAAAGTTTAGGCTCAGCTTCTCTAGAATTTTTTTCTACTTCTATCATTATTAAAAAAAGTATCTATTTTAATGGACTGATGACAAACACACTAAAATTCAACAATATCAAATGCACCTCTGTCTGTATTTAAAATGGCGATTTACGTACAGTCCAAGATTTGCATTCCTCGGTGAGAAGGAGAATGCATTCCTTGACCTATGAAAATGACATTGATTTTAAAAGAAACCAAGCTTCTCTATTCTAAAAAGTGATAAAACATCAAACTCTTAAAAAGCTAACAGACTAACAACCCTCACATCAAAAAGTTGAACTCAGTAAAAATCTTTCTATTCACTAATTCTTTGATGCTTCGTTTTAGTGCATACATTTTTGTCTTATTCAAGTCACATTTCAGAATAAAGAGTCACTTTTAAGTGTTTAATGGAAAATTAAGCGAGTTCAAATCATTTTTCTTTCCCAACCATTTTAAGTCTGGAATTTCATTGAAACTGACCTTTCTTACTGCAGTTTCAGTTGTGACAAATGCACATTTTCATTAAAAAAAAAAATAATCCTGACCTGTTCTATTGCTAACACACAGAAACCAAACCAATTATTAAGTGTATATGAAGACCTAATCGCCCCCTGGGCTTCTGTTCCAAGAGGAAAGAATTGCACCTAAATCTGAAGGTGAAAGAGACCAACACATTTCCTATGTTAGTATGAAGACAACAGTACTTAGGAAGAAGGAGAGGACTTTTCCGCAATTCCCTCAAGGTCATATTTATCATTTTTAAGACCATCAAATATGGTTAAAAAATACAACAACTAGGCAGAATCACATGAATTTCAGCTCCGCTAAACACAGTTTTGTACTACCATGCACTGACTTACCCTGGAGCTGTCTACTCGATCGCCGGTGGCTCAGCTTTTGAAAAGGTTTGCTGCAATTATCTCTCCGGGTACGTGTGAACTGACTGCGCTTGGTTTTCAGCACATTTGTTTAGCTCTCTTGGTTCACGTGTCTTCCTAGATACGCCCAAAGCCGCGTCTGTGGCTGTGTACCTGAACATCAGTGTTAAGTCTGCTCTCCAAAGATGTGTTACCCAAGGCAGAGCAGCCGATGGCCCTTGAAGGGTTGTTGATAAACCTCCTTGGCGGCCGTCTCTTGGAGTGGGCTATCTGAGGCGTTGCAGCAGCAAAAGGAAAACATGAAGAAGTTGCCAAGCGTAAGATTATCATTAACTGCACTTACTGTTCTACAGTACCAAGCAGTGTTCAGCAGAAGACACGGGTATTAAGAGAAAAAGTCACACTTTTTCCAAGCAAAACACCTGTGTTTATGGACTTTTTCTTGGTACAGTAATAATCACTAAATGAAAGGGATGCTGGTCCAGGACCGGCATCGTGATGTTACAGAGTTTCAGTACCTTTTATCTGATCAAATGGCTCAAGAACTGGATATTGCTTTTTAGGTATTTATAATCTTAATTTAATAGGGAGTTTTGAAGAGTGTAATGGGAAAGACTCATCTTCCCACTGCCTGGTTTCCAGGCCATAACATGGAATAGAAATTTCCCCCTCTAGATTTTAATGTTAAGTGGTTGTCAGGTTTTTTTTGGCGGGGGAGTTGTTTTCAGATTATCATCTTTCAACTTTCAGGCTGCAATCTTTAAGGCAAGGACTACAGCTAAGATAGAGCGCTCTAGATCTGTGCTGGGTTACATGGGTTAAACTCTCTACAGTGAGTTCTGCAATAATATTTTTGTAACTACTCAATTTACTTGGGAGCCTAAATTTGCTTTGGTGACTGAAAAACTTAAATTTCCTTGAAAATCCGTGGTCTCTTAAATGGTGTTGAAATTGGGACACAGAAGTCACTCAAGCCTGAGCCTACAAAGACATTCAAAGAACAAGTTCCCACTGGTTTCCATTTGACTTGACCAACCTTGATCTCTGCTTGACCAACCTGATCTCCTTCTATG